TTTCCTGTTTCATCTCATTATGCATAATTAAAATTGTAAAATGGTAAATAGACTGAAGATAAAAATACATATAAATAAAACCATCAGATAAAAAATAAAGGGATTTTAAAAAAACGTTAAAGGAAGGCCTTTATATCGCCTTAATTATTCATACGTGGCGGGAACGGTAGAACAAGGCAGGTACCCGTGATTAGCTGGTAACGTTTTAAAAGGCGAATGGAATAATTTCTTTATTTATATAACATACTGAATAATTCAGAAAAACAGTTCACTACAATGGCGCAGTCTGCCTTCGGTCCCGGCGCCGTCGAGGTCGGATGGAGAGAGTTCACTCCAATGATGTTTTCGAGGCACGAGATTTTAATTGTGTGTGTGCGTGTATGTGTGCACGCGCACATCGATAAACAAGCAGTATATAAACAATAAGAGACTGGGGTGTCACAACAAAGCACTGACGCTGATTAACTGTCTTCTTCAAATTGAAAACAAACAGTTACCAACTCGTAGAAAAACATGCATCACTGCTAAACACTGAGCGGATCGAGGCGAGTTCAGTCGACGCGGATCCTCGGAAGTGAGCTGAGTGACGACGTCGAGCTCTTCCTTCCTCGAAAGGTTTGTTTTGCTTGCTTCTCGGCGTCGCTCGCGAAGAGCAGTCGCTGGCTGGAGTGAGTTTCATCTCAGTGGTCGAGGATTCAAAGTTGATTTCACACACATACACGCCCCATAAGCGTGTGTATTTGTGTTTAAATACATACATACATATATATACACGATTACATATATTAATATACATATAATATATGTGTGTATATTTGTATGTATATGCATATATATATATATATATATATATATATATATATATATATATATGTATATATATATATATATATATATATATAATATATAGAGAGAGAGAGAGAGAGAGAGAGAGAGAGAGAGAGAGAGAGAGAGAGAGAGAGAGAGATAGACAGGGAGAAAAAGACAGACAGATAAATAGAGACAAAGAGTCAATGAATTTCATACAAAATACATAACACAGCCTTTTGATAAACTAAGTAAATATGAACATTTATTATATTGTACGTGGAATATTTGTTTTCCCCAATTCAAATAAGAAATTTAACAATATAAAATGTATGATAAACAATGCAAGTAAAAGAAAAACTGTGTCATCTTGGGAGGTCTGGTAGCCTATAAGCTGTAGGGTGGTCAGAGAAACTCACTGTGTCCTTTGATGCTTAAAAAGGCTAACGGCCGGTTTGTTAAAGACTGCGTGAGGCTCGAACCCAGTGAATGCATATGTGGACAGTACATATAGAGTTAAATATATATATGTCTGTTAAATATGCAAATTTAAAATGTATCTATCCAATATATGTGGATATCTATACTGACAGATAGGCACTCATTGCTGTGTAATTGCATATCCACATGTATGAGCATTCCTTAGGCAGAGCCTCGCGCAAATTTAAAAGCAACCGGTAGCGTCCTCGGCAAATAATATACCAAGCGAGCCCTGCCCTTGGAGGAAGGCTGAAGAGGTGGAGACAAACTCTGAACTGGTTGTCTCTTGACCCAACTTGTGATCAGGTTCTTTGCTCAGCACTGGACCCCGATAAGGAGGAGGACTTTGAGAGTATGCAGGTATGGCTTGAGTGTATCCCATGTCACCTCCAGATTCTATAGGTCCTCCGATATCCTAAGAAAGTATATTGTCACCAAACCGTCATGTAGAGTGCCTGCTTGCCGCATAACCTGGAGTTCAGGGAGGCAGACCATAGGGAATGCTGATAGGATGTAGCTAAATACTATAGTTCGTCACTTGCCAATTTCTTGCAGAAAAGAAATAGTTGCCAAATTGAGAATTTGATAACAACCCGATGCTTACTCCTCGTCTGCAAGCAAACACTCCTACACCGCAGCCATTTGTAAATCTAAAAAATGCATGATAATGGAATCTGTAAGCAAATACTCCTACACTATAGCCATTCATAATCAGAGTCCCACCTAACTGTAGAATCTTCACGTCTCCTTGAGGGCCCTTGCCACTTCACCGCTCACTTGAAACTAATCAACATCCACAAAGGGCACAAACACACCTTTTGACAGTCTCAGTTGAAAAGCTTCCTCTTATGCCTTTCCAGTATGGGTATTCAGTGTCGCACACAGTGTTGTTTATATATATATACGTATATATATATATATATATATATATATATATATATATATATATATATATATATATATATATATATGCAACAAGAACAACGAAGGGAAGGGCAAGAAAACACACGAATATGTCGAAGGCCTTATACCTATTGCTTCTGAAAACATTTTCGTTTCGTGGCTAACTCATACCTATAGTTAAGAGAAGAGCCGAAGGGAATGAAACCCTGTGATTAAACTTACATGCACACACGTACATGCATGTATATATGTATGTATGTATGTTGTATATATATATATATATATATATATATATATATATATATATATATATATATCGGCTGACGTCGGGCGTACGTCTCGTCTTCCACCGGACGACATGGGAGACCCGAGGCAGCACGTTCAGCGGCCTTACTGATTTGTTTGCCTTTCCTATGCATCCAATATGCTTTTGCATACCATGCCCCAAACACTAATAAAAGAAGAATCATGCCTATCAAGGTAACATATACAGGATAATAAAAGTGTATATAAAATTCTGACAACTCCATGTCCGCGTCCTGAAACTTACTAACATCCCCTAGATGTAATTTGGGGATCGTGATGTTGAGTGTCGGCAAGGTCAAGAGCAATAGCCTAATCACTATAGGATCTACGGCGACGTCTGTAGCGAAGGATTTGATTAATGGAACTTTTAATGACAGGGAACTTAACCTACAGTGGTGGGGTAGCAGAAGGGTTCCCTGCAACAACCTATTTGGCTGAAGCTCCTTGCAAGTAATAGTGGCGGCAACGTCGGTGTATCCCTGCTGCCCACCAGTATTATCCATGCCTCGCCAGTCCTGGGTTCGGTGAGATCATCCCCTTCTTGCCCTGAAAGGAGGCCCGCGTTCAAACAACTAGGGCATAGTTAGGATAGTTCGAATGTGAGGAGGTGGGAAAGTACGGAAATCAGGCGAAGTGCAAAAATGACTGAAATATACATGAAGAGAGAGAGGGATCGCTTTTATTCCTGTTTAGTTGTTAATTTGGTGGATATATTGGAAACCTGCCTTAAGAAATAAATTATCGTTTATTATTTCGAAAATTATTATCAAGAAATCTTATCACATCGTTTTATTTCAATCCTTTTCGTATTTTCTATATAAAAAACTTAAACATTGTTGCTGTATTCATATTAATATTCGTCAGACGGAAATATCCTTCATTCATATATGAAGGATGTATATTAATAAATGGCTCTGCATTATCCTAAGCAGCTTCTCTCTGACTTCTCTGTCTTATATCACCTGAATCCACTATTTCGATAATAGTAAACTTTTGATATGTTATTTGGAAAAGAACATATGACGTTACTTCATACGCTATTATATTTCCAGATGTTTACAATTATTAAATTGCCAAAATAACGAAATTAATATGTAAAAGACGGATATGGAAAGCAATGGGTTTCTTGAATATTTTGGAGGGGAAACACCGACAAGGTGTTGGACACCAGCCGCTGAAACGACAAATAAAGGCGTATAGTCAAGGCTAAGGGAATATCCCCTTAGCCTTGGGTAAAGTGAAGCTTGACTCGATCTCTAGCGGGGTGAGTGAGCAAGCGTGAACCGGGAAAGGGGTTTGCTGGGAAGTGCCCAATCTGCCCAGGTCTAAAGACTGTCAATTAATAATTTGATACTAAAAGATATGTTAATAGTATAGGTTTCGCAACAGCTGCATCTTATAAACCCCACCATCATTGTATTAATGCACCGCTGCACACATTCATTGCTTTTCGTTTTACATCATTCATTTTCACCAACAGTTTCGGTAATAATACAATAAATTAGGTTGACTAACGATGCACTTTAAATCACTTTGTATCTCAAAAGTAACTTTATGCTGATGTAATAGACATTAATACTTTCTGTAAGTATATGATTGCGAGGGGCGGAGCCAAGTGGCCCATCACACTCAAGTTGACTCCAACCAAACCGTGCTTCGCGATTCATGAACTCGACTGGAGGTCGTGGTTCGTAGGAGACACCCAAACGAAATAAAAGGAAAACAAGGGAATCGATACCTATACCTTTACAGCCCATTATCCTCGAAGTTTTCCGGTCATTTATTAACGTTTGGTAGCCCAAGAGGCGCTACTTGAGACGATACATTATTCACACCCAAAATATTACCCACGGGGTGCAGACACTAGCCTCGATAGGATGGGACTGAAACATCGCCGAACACACACTCCTTGCTTTGCCTAGCGAATCTAAATCACCCCCTTCCCCCCCACCCCCTTTCCTAACTATGTCCAGGTTGTTTGAACGTGGGCCACCTTTCAGGGCAAGAAGGGCAAGATCTCTCCAAGCCAAGGTCTAGCGAGGCGACATCGCTTTTGTTGCTGGGTGTACACCACGTGGAACATGCCACCTTGGTGTGAAAGCGGCCTTACAAAGACGAAATGGAAACCGTATATCTATCCTCTGGCTTAAACTCTTTTCAATTGAGATGAATTATGGCGGTGTAATAATTGCCAACCTTTTCGTCACTTTCAGATGAGTCCAACCGCAGTGGTTCTTTGGATGGTCGTAGGGACGGCCTGGACACACAGACATCATCCCTACGCTTACACCCAACGATATCCAACTAGTTACCTTAACTCTAAAGTAGTGAGTCTACTCTAGTTGTATATGTAGAGTAAATTGCAATTAGCGAGGGAAAAATTGCAGAAGTGGCAAAGAGAGAGAGAGGGGGGGAGGGGGGAATGCAATACTTTTGGGGAAAAAATAAACAGAGGCAAACAAACAGGGATAGAGAATACCATATAAAACAGACTGAAAAAAAAACACCGAGAGTGATATAAAGAGAAGCAAGAAACAATTTCACGTTTCGTCTGACTCTACTTCAACAAATACTCTACACACCACGCATGTATTCGCCGCCCACCGCTACCAGAACATCATAGACAACCTGCTGTACGAAATATCCAGGCTGTCGGGGCTCACATTGGCACAACGGAGATCACCGGATGTCCTGAGGGGAACGGTGCAATTTATGGCTTACGTCAGGGACTACTTGACCTATTATCATAAAGCGCGTGAGTATATTTTCATATTATATATACCTATTTTCGTCATTGTTTGCATCATTGTCATTATTATTACCTTGCTCAAATATACATACGTTGTAAAACTTGGTTAATCTTCTATATTGATACTGGTGGGGCAGGATGTATACTACTATTACGGATTAACTTCAAGATTTTAATGTCGCATTCTCAATGATTTGACGTACTTTTTGATCTTATCTTTGAATGTCGTACATAATTTGTAACAGTATCATATATTCAGACACTTAAAAAGAGTTTGCAAAAAGGTTACTTCAAACTTAACCATTACCCTTATTGCAGACAACATAGAAACTTGGAAAATTACCAAGGTTAAATTAGATTTAGAAAGTTGAACATTTGATAACAATTAATCAGTTCGATTTACAAATGAACAAACATTACAACAATAACAAAACAATCTGACTAGCCATACTAATACCTTGACTCGTGGCTAGAATGTACAAAATGCAGAGTTTATAATTGCAAGATTACCTTGAGCATATACACAAAATCCAATTCTTCAAAAAAAGATTTTAAAAATCGGCTAAAAATTCTGAACAATTCACAACACACGCCCGTCCTTACCGCCCACAGTAACAGCCTTTATTGTCTGTGGAACATGCAGCAGCAGAAACAGATTTGCATTTCATTTATTTGTTAACAGATAGACAAAATTCTTTATTAATTACCATAATTAATAACAATTAATATATGAATTCCACCCATTAGTAAAATGCGCATGACTCATGTATATGTATGTATATATATATATATATATATATATATATATATATATATATATATATATATATATATATATATATATATATATATACACACACACACACATACACACACACACACACACACACACACACACACACACACACACACACACACACACACACACATATATATATATATATATATATATATATATATATATATATATATATATATATATATATATATATACATATATACACACATATAGGGATACATTCATATACATACATATATACACATATATAATATATATATATATATATATATATATATATGTATGTATATATATATATATATATATATATATATATATATATATATATATATATATATATATATATATATATATATATATATATATATGTATATATATATATATATATATATATATATATATATATATATATATATATATATATATATATATATATATATATATATATATATATATATATATATATATATATATATATATATATATATATATATATATATATATATATATAATATAATATGTGTGTGTGTGTGTGTGTGTGTGTGTGTGTGTGTGTGTGTGTGTGTGTGTGTGTGTGTGTGTGTACACACACGCATATATGGATATATGCATACATACATACATACATACATACATACATACATACATACATACATATATATATATATATATATATATATATATATATATATATATATATATATATATAATTGGTGTCTCCATTTGAGGAATTGTATACACATTTACACACACACACACACACACACACACACACACACACACACACACACACACACACATACATATATATATATATATATATATATATATATATATATATATATATTAAAAATTTAAATTTATTCCTAACCACAGGAACATGCCCAGGCAACTT